CAACTTTGATAATCATCTTGAAAACTAGCCTAGTAAGTTTTGTGGTTTTTTTCTGAGAACTTCTTAATTGTTTTTCCTCACAAACATGTAGACAAGTAGACAGGTAGGGTATTAAAGACAACAGAGGTAAACTAACTGTGTTTCTCAAAAAGAAGAGTGGCAAAAGAAAGAGTTTGCACAAATTTCAAATCCTATGACACCAGTCTGCGTAATAATTCCAGCATTAATTATTCAGAATTAGTTCGTGTCCTCTGGCCAGTCTATTGATGAATTACCACGTCACTTGATAAAAGTAACTTTCACACGAGGATGTCGCCCTTAAGCATTCGTAGGCCCAAAGCAACATTTATGCACTTAATTCAGCATGCACTTTAAGAGCAGGAGTATTCTTAAGTTATCCTATTAGACAGGCTAACTGCTCTTCATTACAAACATCAAAAAAATTATTTTTACAGGTCGAGGCTCAGTTCTGCTCCTAGACAGTCGATCCAACGATAAAACAAACAAAGGGTTCCAAGTAAGCCACTTTGAGGTTTTAATTTAGTTTATCATTCATTTTTAGCTGCTGTTCTGCGAAAAATAAGATGACGATTTGCAAGTTGTTTGGCTGAAGTTCTGTTTATTTATCATGTATGCTAATTCTCAAATGCACATTAGGTTTTACTTGCTTTAGTTAAACAGAAATCAAAATTCACTTTTTGCACGATGTGTTCCTGGGATGTTGAAAGCAGACAATGATTGTTCTCAAGTCTTTTATCAATGTATTCTTTCCGGTGTGTTCATCAAACGTCGTTGTAAAGAGGTTGTTTTTTTTGTTTTCGATAGCGTCTTCACAATCCTTTAGCTTTTGGTGCTTACTCCAAACTGCAATTTAGAACTACCGGTTTGACCTTTCTTACAAAAGGTGCAGAGAAATAACGTTGTTACCAAAATGTGGCAAAGCTTCTGCTCCATTGGACGGAAGACTACCGAATGAAATAACCCCAGCGACTACCGCTGTTCAGACTGGTCAGCTTGAAATGATTATGGAGCCGAAAGAACCCGAATATGTCTCACCACCGGTTTATTACACTGTCTTACCTTGTAATTTATATTTTCTGATCTTCTTTCGTAAGATAAAGGATGAACTAATTCTCCAGCTATTTAAACCGCAATAATAAATTTACATCCAGAATATTCTATCGATTTTTCCCAATTTATTTGTTATTACTCTTGAAAATGACATATAAAAAATGTAAACTTTTCGGACCGTTCATTTTGAGATATGCCTAACTTTTAATGACCAAAAAATGGTTAAGTGCTGGTAGAAAACTGCTTGGACCTGGTGAAGCTAAGACGATCTCTTCGCTTAAAAGTTCTTAATGCAAATTTTTTTAGTTGTTGATGCCTTTGACATGCCGTTTTACCACAGTTACTTGGCTCAAAGTATGCCCTACTTCAGCATTAATCAAGCTGGTGGCAACGCTTACGATCTGTTCAACATTCAAGCAAATCCTGCTGTCACTTCAAGTCGAGGCCTGAGTCCATTCCTTAACGTTTGTTATTTTACGTATGCTATTGTCCTTCTGGCAGGTTAAGTGGGATAGGAGAATGCATAAATAGAAGCGCCTAAGGAAATTTTAGAGTAGGATCCTCATTGTGCAGCAACATATTTCAAATAGCTTTTTTCGTTGTGTTATTTGTTTCCCAGTTTTACTCTGCACAAAGCTAATTTTTAGCCTCCAGTACCTAGCTTATTCGATCACTTTGAAGTTCTTTCATCAAATGGGTTGGATGGAAACAAAATAGCAGTAGGGTCAACAAAGTAAGTGTTCAATCTTTCTTGTTCCAGTTAAATGCTTCTGTAGTGGTGTAA